AGCTCCAGGGTGGGGAACTCTCACTGGCTATGGCCAGCTTGCAGTGCTGTATCCTAACCCCCTGTGCACCAGGGAGGGTCTGGGGTGGGTGTTATTAAACCGTGAGTTGGGTTTCACCTTGACAAAGTGAGGACAAATGAGAACTTGCCCCACACCCTGGGAAGAGTCCAGTCTATGCTCACAGAGAAGCAGGCCTGGGTGGGTGGAGGATCTCCCGGATGCCTGCCCCGAGCCAGCCTCAGGAAAGACGGGGGACCCCACCAGGCCTGGGGACACTGCATGGCTCCAAGCAAAGGCCTGGTTTTCCAGTCAGTGTTGGTGTGAGACTGTACCAAAAGGGGTTATGTGTTTGTTTTTTCATCTTAAATTTAAATAGGCAGGGAAAGAGCAGTAATCTCTGGGTTAACCACTTTTGCTTTGGAAAGCAGGCTGATGCAGCCATAGCCACCCCCATGAGTGGAAGGCAGGATGGGGGCGGGGGTGTCTGTAGAGGGGGCGTAACACTGGCTCCCCAGCCAGCCTCGTGGGCCGACCAGGAAAGAACGTCTCTGCCCCCTTCCCATGCCCTTTCAGCTTTACCTTTCCTGGGACTGCTCCTCTCTGCTGGAAGGAGGGACGGGGTGGGTCCAGGACATGGGTTGGGGCTTGGAAAGACATTCTGGAGAGTGCTCGTTGTGGAAACAGATGTGTACATGCAAGGCAGGGGGCGGGCGGTGCGGGGAGCAGAATGAGCAGAGCCCATGTTAGCGTTGAGGCCAGAGTGCACGCCTGAGGCCCTCGGATTTGGGAAAACAACTTGCAGATCTGGACAATTTCATGCCGAGAGGGGTGCCGTGTGATGGACCCAGGCCAGAGCTAAAAATAAGGCGGTATTTCTATGCTGAGCTAAAAGCATTAGCATCTGTGGGTTTGTGTGGTGGGGAGAGGCACATATAACCCTATGGTGAGGCCAGAGAGGTGGGAGGGGTCAGCCCTGCCTCTTTTTCCACACTGTGTGGGATGACGCTCCCCTCAAAAAGGAGAGAGGGGGCCCCAACCCAGAAGCCAAAACAGAGAGAAGGCCTGAAATTGGAACTGAAAGCAAAGCAGAAGAAAGATTTCCAACAAAATCCCAAGGAGCCTATGGCCACCCCAGGAATTTGGGCCACTGTGGGTGGCCTGACCCTCACCACCAGCGCAGCAGTGAGGAAGGGCCCCCAGGTCCAGCTGAATGACAGCACAAGCTGCCATCTCCGAGTCCTGACTTAAATGTAATCACCTCCACAGGGTCCCCTTTGCCACATGATATGGTCACAGGCTCCAGGGAGTAGGATCTGGATATAGGGGACAATTACTCTCCACCCCCCCACACACACACACATATTAAAAAGAAGGGAGGAAGCAAGTACATTTAGCAAAATGCTAACAAAAAAAAAAGTTAGGGTGGAAGGACCACAAAACCAGTATTAATTTGCATTGAAAGGGCCACACTGACAGGACAAGACTAGATGGAATTCTTTTGTCATAACAGAAGTGCCTGAACACACAATGGAGAGGGGCCAGTCCCATGAGTCCCACTGACCCATGACCAGGCCTCGACAGTTACTGCACCTGCCATTCGAGTTCTACTTATCATTCCACTTTTTGGAAATGGGCTAAAAAAATATTTTTAAGATTTATTTATTTATGCACACAAGAAATGGGCACAGGCCAGATGTGCAGGGGAGTGAGAGGATTCACCAGAGACAGAGTGGGGAGCAGAACAGGCAGATTGGCCAAAGTTAACTGCTGAAGGGAGCAGCAGGTGGAATGGGAGAGGTCTGCTGCACCAGGTGAGTCAGTCACTTCCCTGACTGGGGATTGAACTCGTGCTGCAGTGGCTGTGGATATCTTCATAGTGCTGCGCTTTAACTGGTTGCACCACCAGGGAGGGCTAAAAATTTTAAAGCAAATCCCTGACATCATTCCAGCCATTAAAAACTTCAATATGGGCCCTCCCTGGTGGCGCAATGGGTTAGGATGCAGCAATGCAAGCTAGCCACAGCCACTTCAGTGCGAGTTCGATCCCCAGCCCTGGAGGTGACCCACATGGCGCGGCAGACCTCTCCTGACCCTCCTGCTGCTCCCCTCAGCAGTGCACTTCATCGATCTGCCTGTTCTGCTCCCTGCTCTGTCTCCGGTGAATCCTCTCACCACTCCTGCACTTCTGGCCAGTACCCCAGTTCTGTATAAATTAATAAATAAACTTTAAAAAAATATAAAAGATTTAACTGTACTACAGGCACACACAAAACAGGTCAACAATGGGCTCATTTACAAGGGGAAAGGAAAAGGAACAACCCAGGGAAAGAGAGAGAGATACAAGTTAACTAGAGCACCCTACCAGTTCGCTGATTTGGAACTCCAATGGCACACTGAAAGCTCATCAAGAGCCAAGCCACCAGCAACCAGCCAGGAGGCCAAGGGAGAGAGAGCTCAACATGGGCTTCTTCATATATTTATCTATATCTCCCCAGAAGTCCCAAAATGGCTGCTTAGCTCCACCCTTGGGTCCTTGCAGCCTTCCCTTCGGTATTGCTGGGAGATGTAGTTTCAGTGACTGGAATAGGGGGTGGAGTCCACAAATCCTTTATCTGCAGAGTTCCCTTAGGACATTCTTTCCCCAACAGGTGGAAGACACCAGAGACCCCCTAACTGGGCGCAGCTTGAGCAAAGCCTCCAAGCCCAGATGACACAATGACTCTGAATGTGCAGGGTGATGAGAAACTACAGGAAACCCACCACCCACCTGGGAGCCATGTATTACACTAAGGGACCCCAAGATTGGACAACAGAAGAAAGTGGAGGTGGGTAGAGTTTGAGGACAGAGGAAGCCAATGAGGCAGGAAGTGGGGGACCTGAGTTCTTGTTCCTACCAGTTGTCCACATTGCCCCTGACCCGAAGGAGGGTTGCTGCAGGACAAGTAGGAGTTTACTGGGAAGAGGAAAGTGGCCGTGGACAAAGAGAACAATGGGGTCAAAGGCAGAGACAGGAACCCAGAGTGTTCAGAGAGTCAACAGGAATGCTAAGTCAAGGTGGAGTCAAGGTGGCCTCTGGGACAAGAAAAGAACGTTAGCAGAAAAATGAGCAGTCCAGAGACTAGAACCATCAACATTCGCTTCTCCACTTTGACTAATACATGTTGGTTATGTGAGATGTTAACATCTGGGGAGGCCATATTTACTATCTTTGTAATTTTCCATAAACTTAAAATGATTCCAAATAAGGTGATTAAGAGAGACAGAGAGAAAGGAACAAAAGAAAAATGATGCAAAACAGTTAGTGTATAGAAGGTACCAGAGGAGGAAATGCATAATGTCACCAGAAACCAGTTTACCACGAGCTTCCTGTAACAGACAGCAGGAGTTCGTTTTCAAGAAGACAGTGCCTCCAGGGGACAGGGCCCCTGGTGACAACTTCTACCTCAGGGTCACCCTAATTATATTTCACCTGCCACAGGGCCTGAGCTCCCAGTAGGAGGACACTGTGTCTGAACTCTGTCCTCCTGAATCCACAACCACCCACACAGAAAGGAAGTCAGCAGTCATCCCCACCCCCTGGTGAGAAAAAAATGCAGGGATCCCAGTTGCCCAACTGTGGAGGAGGTTCAGAAGGGCAGACAGTAGCAAAAGCAGGACCAAACCTAACACCTGGGTTGTCCTCTCAGACTCAGGGAATAATCTTGCTGATGGCACCTTTAAGAAGGCACCACTGGCCCTCCCTGGTGGCACAACGGTGAAGACGCAGCACTAGAAAGCCATCGCCACCCACTGCAGCACAGGTCTGTCCCTGGCCAGGGAGATGACCCACATGGCGCAGCAGACCTCTCCTGTCTCACTCTCTGCTCCCTCAGCAGTGTGTTTCAGTCAATCTGCCTGCTCTGCTCCCCGCTCTGTCTCTGGTGAATCCTCTCACCCCATGCACCTCTGACCTGTACCCCAGTTCTTGTGTGCATAAATAAATAAATCTTTTTTAAAAAAAGCCACCACCCCAGAGGTGTCACCTGCAGTCTCTTCACCCACCTCAACTACCAAAAGGCAGAAAGCAGAAAGATGTACCGATGTGGTCTCATCTGCCTACTTGGGGGGAAGGCAATTTCACACCTGGGATCCAGGTGCCGCATCACTTGTGTTCAAATCTGGGTTCTGCTGCTTCCTAACACATTAATTAACCTCCTTGTGCCTCTGTTTCCCCAGTTTATAATAGACAAAACTTCATAGGATTCCACGATAGCAGTTAGAACAGCATCTGACCCATCCAAGGTGCCCATTCAAGAGTCCTTTGGATTTATTTTTTCATTAATTGAAGAGTAGCTTCTGGGTACAGCAGAACCTGATCATCTGAGTAGGAGGATTCTCTCCAAAACGCGTGAATGTGAAGTTACCCTCTAGGCCAACATCTGATGAGAACCTAGTGGGTGATTCAGGAAACCAGAGCACAGACAGGGAAGATCAGAGTAGTCCGGGGATGACGAGAGGGAGGGGGAGGCGGCCTGGAACACCCTAGAAGAGGGAGGCAGGGCCAAGGTGGGCTCTGAGGAAAGCCATGTGCGAGTGTCTGCAGCACCCCAAGAGTGGGCAGAGCTGACAGAGCAGGTGAGGATTCAGGGTCTTCACGATGATCTTAGGGTCAGGACCTGAGCTTCCACACATGCTGTACTTTTTGCAACCTGATGCGTATCAGGCATGTTCAAGATTCTGGGGGTACAACTGAGAACAAGGGCCACCGCTCCCTGCTCCAGCACCGTGGACACTCTATGTGGGAGGAGGCAGAAGATAAACACTGCACAGACTAGGAAAATTCTCACTCTGCTCAAGGGTGATAAGTGCTACGGGAGACAGCTGCCTTCCCCCCAAGTCGGCAGATGAGACCACATGGCGCATCTTTCTGCTTTCTGCCTTTTGGCAGTTGAGGTGGGGGAAGAGGCTGCAGGTGGCACTCCAGGGGTGGTGCCTTCTTAAAAAAAAAAAAAAACTGTCTTATAAAGAGGACAGAGCCTGAGACAAGGTGTGTTCTACTGAGCAGGGGGAGTGAGAGGCGGAGGCTGCAAGCTGAACAGCCAGGTGAGAGCTATGTCACTTCAAACAGACGCATGCAGGGTGTGCCACAGGCAGAGGCTGGCAGGGTCTGGGCTGGCAGGAGGGACTGGCACGAGAACGCAAGCGGAGGAAAGAACGGTGTTCTCCAGCCTGGGAGCTGCAAGCCTTCTCCCACCGCTGCACGCAATCTTCCTGGACTCTGCACAGCACACGGCGTGTGTTGTGGATGACGCAACTATCCCGGGGTGTAGGTTAACTGGATTTACTGCAGTGATCACTTTGCAATCTATATACAAACGTGGGATCATTGGGTTACACACCTGAAACTAATGTAATAGGCTATGTCGACTATGCCTCTATGGTTGAAATCAAGTTAACTGGTGAGAATAGAGCCGCCAAGCCTGATGACATCACAAGACAATCAGTGCAATGATGTGTGCAGACTGGACAGGTGAATGACAGGGAGAAGGGGAGGTGGGTGGAGTGGCCCTCCCAGGACGTGGCCCATCAGGGGTGAGGAAGGGAGGATGAAATCACAGGGCTGAACAGGAGCCCTGAGGCTTGGTCTTCCTTTGCTACAAAACACTCTCCTGCTCTATAGTTGCTTTCTTGTCTTTAAATTGGACAGCCCAGCACCACAAGAAGCGAGAACCCTATTCCCCAGCAGATGCGAGTCCAGGGAGGGGAGTCCCAGCTTGAGGTTCAGCTGCCTTGCCGCGCAGGAATTCTCGTCTTGATGTTTACTTTGAGATAACTATATGCAGTTTCTAATGCTTCCATAACAAATTGCCACAAATACGGTGGCTTAAAATAACACATATTACTTTACAGCCCTAAAGGTCAGAAGTCGGCAGCTCTCGTCTGTGTCTGTGCAGATGTCTCTTTCCTTTCTCCTCTTTTCCTTAATAACCTTGCTGTGTGCTGATGAAGAAAATAAAGAAAGAAATGAAGGTCAGAAGCCTAAAATGAATGGGCAAGGCTACGCTTGCTTCTCCTGGCACCTACAGGGGAGAACGCTTTTCTTGTCCTTTGGGGTGCTGGAGGTCGCCTGCATTCCTGAGCACCTGACCCCACATCACACCCACCTCTGCTTGGACCCACCACGCTCTTCTCAGGCTCCGGCTTCCCTTTTCTAGCAAGGACCCTTGTGATTACATTGCGCTAACCAGAGAATCTCCTCTCTCAAGACCCTTAACTTAGTCTCACGCAAATCCCTCCAGCTGTGGCAGGTAGCCCTGTCACAGATTTGGGGGGAGGGGGGCATCAAAGTGGAAAGGCCCCAGAGGGCCTCAAATACCATGACCTGAGTTTGGGAAGGGTGGAGGAGTGGCAGAGATGGCTGGGGACTGAAGCCTGGGAAAACCCTTCCTTGCAGTTTTCCCACACACGTTTGCACATAACAAACCTAGCAAGGGACTGGACGTTATGGAGAACACAGAAATAAGTCAAATATAGGCATTTGGAGGAGGAGTTACCAGCAAAGTGTGTACACATGAGGGAATAAGAATCACACATGACAGAGTCCAACAAAGTCATTCCATGGAAGAAGAGACTGGGATATTCAAGGAAGACTTCATGAAGTGATAGCATTTGTGCTCAGAAGACAATCAGCGATTTCTGAAGTGGAGAAAGTTAAGCAAGATGGCACAACAGCCTGGTCAAATGCTGTTGCAGCACCAAGGAGACTTTTTTTTTTTAAGATTTATTTACTGATGCATACAGAACTGGGGTACAGGCCAGAGGTGCAGGGGCGGTGAAAGGATTCACCAGAGACAGAGTGGGGAGCAGAACAGGCAGATCGACAAAGTACACTGCTGAGGGGAGCAGCGGGCGGGTCAGGAGAGGTCTGCGCGCACCACGTGGGTCACCTCCGGGGCAGGCGGGGATCGAACTTGCACTGAGGTGGCCCCAGCTAGCTTGCAGTGTGATGCTCTAACCCGTGTGCCACCAGGGAGGACCTCAAGGAGACTTTTTTAAAGTCCCCAAATGGCCACCGGTGTGGTGGCTGGAAAGGACTTGTGAAAGTGAGCTGGTACGTCCTGCATCTCCCAGTGGGTGTGTGGGAGGACAGTCAGTCCCCAGGAGATGGGTGTGTTCAAATCTTACCAGCAGGGGGCGCACAAGAGCCAAAATGGGGTGTTGGGGGAGGGGAGGTATTTCTGAAACTGGATGCCCTGAAGGAAGGGAGGAAAAGTTTTCCCATCCAGCACCACAAAGCCTGGAAGAGCTCACTGCCCCCATGTGATCTGTGACTCAGGGGCTTACCCAAATTTTCCCCTTCCAGTTAAGGCAAACCATATTTTTTTCCATCTCCCTTTCCTGGCTGCCTGTACAACTACATGCCTGGGACATTTTAACATTTTAATGCGGCCTTATTGCACCACCGACTGTGAGGACAGAGGAGACTTCAACATTTAATCCCAAACGTTCCTGGTACAGATGAGGCGATTGAGGGTTTACCCCCCAACCCCCACCCCAGAGGACGACGCAGGCCCCAAATAAAGAACCTTGGCCTCCTCAGACACATTACAAGGGCCTCTTGGCTGTCAGGGGCTCTTAACTCTAGGCCTCCAGAGTGCTTCTTGAATATGAATAGAACAGCAGGACCAGGAATAAAGTGGCTTCATTCAACTTCCTTTCATCATAACAGTGATAAGGAAAGAGTCCTCGGCCATGCTGAAGGAAAAAGAGTTACCGAGGCACTGCAGCTCTGTGGGGAGCTGCGCTAGGAACCAGTTTCCGGGAACCTGCATCCAGGGAGGATTTACTGTAACAGAGACAAAGGCCAGGGTTCCCTTGGCAGCCACTGCAGTCCGTCCTCCTGTGGATGGCTCATTCAATACTCGTGATAACCCTAAAAAGTAGTTTCTGTTGAAAGTTTAAATATTTACTAAACTCCCCAGTGCAGGCGAACACTAAAAAGAAGTCTTTTCTGTCCTCCCGACCTGTGCTCTCAAGACAATGGGGCACTGTTCTTCCAGCTCCCCCTCAGGGCCTCAGCTGCTGCAGGGCCCCACTCGCACCCCGGAGTAGGGTGAGGGTCTGAGATAAAGTGTGACCCAATTCCTCTGTGTGGCCTCGCTGGGCCACAGGCTGCCCTGAGGAGACTCTTCCCGCGTCCCCTTCTTTTTCTTCCCCCTGTGGTTGCCTGTGGTTTCCTGCCGGGCACCCCGCTGCCCCGCCAGTCCCCCACCCCGCAGCCCAGAGTCCCCTGACCCCACCTTCCATCAGCACAGCCACAGGGCTCCCTTCTCCCGCTCCGGGAAGCCTCTCCTGACTCAGTCCGCTTGGGAACGTGCCGTGCCGTGCAGTGCCTGCCCCGGGCCACAGGTGCCACAGGAGCAATGATTCCGTGGGCTCGTCCTTGTCCGGCAATGGCTCTCTGGCTGCGCTGAGATCTCCCGTGTGGCAGAGAGCTTTCATCTCCACACAGGTCCATCGTGGGCTCAAGCTCCATGAGAAGAAAGAGCGAAGGGGATGGATGAGTCTTCCCCACGCAGGCTCCTGCTGCCTGGCCTCCCATCCCTCACCCTTGCCGCCTCTTCTGCTGCCACCTTTCTCTCCACCCTCCACCCCCAAGCCCCACCCTCCTTCAGTTTGCCTCTCACCTGAGCTGCAGAACCTGCCCTCTGCATTATCCTCAACTCACCTTTCATCCAGCTTCCCTCACACTGCTTAACCAGCACTCACCAGAGACATCACTTCCACCTTCCTTCTGATCCCTCAAAGTTCTGAGCCAAGACCTGGAGGAACAAATGGAGGTTTTTATCCTTAAGGCGCCCACTGTATACTGCTCCCCTTCCCCTTAAACCTAAGGAAACCACGCAGCTGATTAAGGGGGGAGTCCCCTGCTTGAATCCTTCAGGCCCTTGCCTCAGTGTGCAAAGTCTGGGAACCTGAAGCTCTGCCTCACCTCCATCCCAGCTAAGTGCCCATCTTCACCTCCCCACGCACTTCAACCTGACCCCAGAGCCCCCACCCCCACACACCCCACCTCCCTTCACCCCCCCTCCCCCGCTCAGTCTTTGCTCAAAAGTCTCCGGAGATTACAATTTCCTTGTGACTCTGCAGCAGATTAATTCTCCAGTCTGGGTCAGAGCCTCTGCCCCAGTAGCCACAAGCCCCGCTCTGTGTGACCTCCACAGGGCAATCTCACCCCACGTCCTGGCTGCTCAAACCCCAGCCCCCTCTGAATTCCTGGAGGACAGAAAGAGGATCTAATGCATTTTTCCCCCAGTTTCTAATGAAATACCTGCATAGTAGATGCAGAAAATTTTTCTGAATCAATGGATGAGATGTCTCACAATGATAACAGCTACACAGAGCTAACACCCGCTTGAGTCATGTTCTTTTTGCTTTTTGTTGTGCCTGCATGAGTATGATTGTTTTGTAACTACACAAAAACTAAAGGAAACTTCGTCTTGGAAAAAAAAAAAAAAAACCCTGCAAACACACAAAGGGATTTGGAGAAGTCAGAAAGAGGGAATCTCCCCCTCCCAGGGTGAGAAACAGGAAAGGAATGCCCGGAGACCCGAAGAATTTCTACACGGGGAAAGTGGGCCTGCAGCCAGCCACATCACACACCACAGGGGCAGGACTGGGCCTGGGATGGCGATGGTGGGGTGCCAGGTAGTGCGCAAAGATTGCTCTGCACGGGATGAAAGAGGAGGAATTCCGATGTAGACCTCTGAGTACCGGGAAGCCACAGAGTTTTGGGCTGGAGTAGAAAACACGCTCCTGTAGCCCTGCAGGGGTAGCAGTGAGCAGGGTCGAACTGCAGGAGGAAGGTGTGGAGAGGTCCCCAGGAACTCCCTCCCCCTCTACGGGCACCTGCAGCGCAAGCACCGAACGCCTCCAGGAGGGTCCAGCCTCCGCCCAGACACCATTCGGAGATGGGTATTGGAGAAGGAGTTCCATAAGCCCGGAACAGTCTTCCCACCTGGAATGCTCCAGAGCCGAGGTTTGCAAGGAGCCGCTCCAGGGCAAAAGAACGCCTGGCCGCTGCATTAAGCCAAGGCCAACGCCAGAAGAGCCCTCATTCTGCGGGCGGCCGACCTTGGGCAGCGGAATTTGACCCCGGGACCCCGAAAAGGCATTCCAAAGTAGCGGGCTCCGGCGGGAGGCTCAGGAGCTCATAGCTGAGAAGCTAAAGGCGAGGCTTCCCTGTAACCCCAAAGCAAAACCAGCAGGGAGTGGCGTTCTAAAACGATCCCAGGACAGTGGAGAGGACAGAGGGAGGATAGCGGGAAGGTCTCGGCCGGGGCTGAGCCGGGAGCAGGAGGCGAACGCCTAGCTCAGGGAAGCGGGGCTCATAGCCCCTGGGAACCCCGACCCCCGGGAGGAGCGGGGGTGGGGCGGTGCGTGGGGCCGGGGCGGGGCAGGTGCGCAGGGAGGCGGGGTAGGTGCGCAGGGAGGCGGGGTCTGCGGGGGGCGGGCCCATGGCACATGCGCACCGCGGCGGCTGGCTCCCTAAGGAGTGGCAGTTTTTAAAAGTGCAGCCCCGAGGCCACCCAGTCGCCGCCAGCACCTCGATTCGAAGTCTGATCCCGCCCGTCCCGAGCGCGCGCCCCCCGATCCCTCGCCAGCCCGGCCCAGGCCCGTCTAGCTCTCACCATGCCGGTCAAGGGAGGCACCAAGTGCATCAAATACCTGCTCTTTGGATTTAACTTCATCTTCTGGGTGAGTGAGCGCCACGATCGCGCGCTCCTCTCCGGGGGCCACCTGTTCCCCCACCCCGGAGACCCTGCCCGCGGCCGGACGTGCGGGTGGCTGGCGCTCTCCGCGCGGGGCTGGCTCTGGGCGGGAGGAAAGGCCCTGCGGCCGCCAGCTGGCTCCCCGCGGGGTCGGGGGCGGGCGGGGCGGGCACGTTGTTTGGGGGCCCCTCCCCAGCCGATCGGACTGGGGCGCGCGGGTGCGTAGAGACGGGTCCCGATCCTTGCTGGCGCGTGGAGACGGGTCCCGAACCTTACCTTCGCCGAGGGTGCGGGGAGGGGTTCCTGTGTGCTCCCACCCCAGGTCCCTCCGAGTGTAGGAGGGAAGGCAGAGGCCGACCACGCCTTTTCTGGGAACTCCAGGCCGGGGGACCGGTTGGGGCCCACCAGTGGCCGGAGTGCCAAGAGGGGCTAAGCGCTTTCCACCCGACTTGAGTGTCGCAGGGAGAGCGTACCCGAAAGTTGTTCGCACTTTTACCCTGGACAGGCGGGAACGCGCCGGCCTGGGGTGCATCCCGGGACCCGTCCCGGAGTAAGAGTCGGGGTCTCCCTCCACCCTCCAGGGTGCATCTTTAGACCCCCATTCTCTCAGAGTGATTCCGAGCCGCCGTGAGAAAGTCCAAGCGCCTTCGAAACTATCTGAAAGATTAGCTTGTCTTGACTTTTTTTCCCCCCCGAGGGCGATGATAAGTATCTGTACTGAAGAGAAGTCTGAGGGAGTTGGGGAGAGGAGAGGCAGATGCCTATCGGCGCCTCTAGTGGGATGAGCCCGGTGTTTCTCCATTTCCGGGAGAGATCCGGTGCCAACTCTGGCTCCCCGCCCCCGGAGCTCCGACGGCGCCCCCACCCCAGCAGCCCGCCCAGCGGCGAGGCGGGATCACAGACTCTACCTGGAGTGGATGCCGGGACTCCTGCTGCTGGCCATCCCACAAGTGGGAAGTCTGAGGGAGGCGCCAGAAAGGGGAATGTCCCTTCCACACCTTCCTTGGGAGGTTAAGGCACACCCCTAGACCGGAATAGGAAACCTGTAACCTGGTTCCAGAGTCCCATCCCCTGTACACAGAGACAGTATTTGCCCCTCTGCAAGAGGACTTTGAACAGAAACAAGAAAGCTGTCCATTTCAGAAGAGATGGGCAGAAACAGGGGTTCACCCCAGAGCGTATGGTAATAAATGTACTTACTCCCCTGGACTCAGTTGCTGGGGTTCCCAAGAACTTGGGTGGTGGAAAGCAGTTGCCCAACCAGCAGAGGCAGGCTGGCTGGCCCGTGCCCGAGTGACCACACCCAACACCTGCCCTTGCCAGGGTAGCCCACAGATGTTCCCTTGCCTGTGTTAGGGATATTCCAGCCGGGGCTCCCATCCTGGTGAGCCCACCAGTCAGCCAGCTGCGCCTTCCTCCTCTCACCAACCCCTGGCACCAGACAAGAATGTTGGAAGGCCGCAGCTCCACCCCACCCCACCCTTGTCCTTTAGGGAGTTTTCCTCTCTCCTCCCTAGTACAGTCTCTTCCTTGCCAGTCTGTTGGTTTGGGCTCTGCCATCTGCCTGGGCTTAGAGCTGGTGACACTTGCAGGGGCTTGATGGCAGATTTCCAGGGCCACCCCAGTGCCTGCTCCATCCCTTCCTGTCTCCAGCCTGCCACCCATCCATGTTGCCAGCTGCCCTTGTCTGAGCACCCAGGTCATCTGAAACAGAAATGGCTCGGCCTGGGAATGGCCAGTAGGGATTAGGAACGGCTTTCAAGCTCATCTAGTCAAGCCCTCTCATTCGCAGTGAAGAAGCTGAGGGTGGGGCAGTGATTTGCCCAGATCAGGGCACAGAGACACAGTCCATACTGTGCCCCTGCGTCCTGTTGTCCTGGCTCCATGAGGGAACCAGCTTGGGAACCTGGTAGTGGCCTGCGGAGAGGTGCAAGAGTAGCTACGTGTTCCAGAACTAATTCTTGTTCAGTCATCTGCATTAAGGTCACCAGGCAAAGACCTTAGCCCTAGACGATGATGGAATAAAAGAATATCCTGATCCACTTGGGCAGTGTTTTGCAGCCTGCAAATTCCTTTTCCTTGTCCTATCACATAGCCAGAGCAGGAAGCTTCTATTTTACAGCTGGAAGCTGGTTCCCAGTGAGGTTAAGCGACTTACCCGGGTCACGTGGCGTAGAGGCATCAGAGGCAGGTTTCGTTGACTTTGACTGGTACACTTGCCATCACAGCCTGCTTCCGTCCCCAGTCGGCTGGGAATAGTAGGTGGTGGGGACAAGTTCTCCAAACATTATTTTATGAGGGAAGTTATAATTTAAGGGAAACTCTTGGATGTTATGATGTTACCTCTACTCTCTCTCCAGACCGGGAATTTATAAACTTGGCATTTGAGACCTGATGAAAAGCAGGTGTTGTGAGGCCAGAGACCCTAAGTGCCTCATGAACAGGGGATGGTCTGACAGGGATCCAGCGCAGAGCAGTTCACTCAGTGGTGGGGGTGCTGGGGTGCTCTGCCTTGGCCCACCACTCCCATCCCTATCCGCGCCTCTTGGTGACAGCAAAGCCTGTCCTGCCAGTGTTCCTCCAGCAGGGCCTCTGATGCCCACAGCCAGTCTGTCCCCCAAGCTCCACTTTGGCCATTTCTGCATCTCCTTCAGGCCTCCCTGCAAAAAATGGGACATCATATCAGAGCAGTGACTTTCAGGCTGTCAAGTGGAAAACCAGGACTAGGGCCAGCTCTGTCCCCCACCACTTAGCCCCCAAGTCTGAAGCCAGCATTGAGAGCACCCCGTTCCTACCTCCCCTTTGCTCACTGCCTCTCACCCCTCACCCTGATGGAAGAAAATAGACGACTTTCTCTTTCCCAAGAAATAGTGTCACCTGACCTTAAGGGAGGCTTCTTGGGAACATGAACAGAGACCTGGCCCCAGCAGTGAGTTGGCAGGTGGAGTTGGTGCTCAGTTTCTATAAAACCAATGTGTCAGAGCAAACTGTCTCAAAACCCAGTCTGTGGCACCTTGCCACCTGCAGACGTGGGAATTTCCTACATCCACTCAGAGGGCACCCGTCACCAAGCTCGTGCTCAGCGCTTACCTTGGCCCTTACCTCTCGGGCCCGACTCCTGGGTCTCTTTCCTGTTAACCCGGCAATTTTCATCGCCTTCAGCCACCTGTGGTAGGACAGCCTGGTGGTCAGAACACCGTTCAGGATCCCTTTTCCCCTTGGTCCGATGGGAAGGGCGCCTACCAAGGTTGCTGAGAGGTTCAGTGAGTGTGCCACCCAGCACTAGAACTGAGTAAACTTCCAGCTGCAGCTGCCGTTAGTCATTCCTTAAAAGTAGACCGACGTGGGGGGTGGGTGGGAGCAATTCCCAAGTGCGGAAGTTTAAATCAGAGATGCGCTGGACACCCCGAGAACCCACACACCTTCCTCCCCTCTTTTCACTCTGCTGATGCCTGGCTGCAGCCGGCTTTCCGACTCCATTTCACGTGTGGCTCACATTTGACTGCGGGCAGCTCATTTCTAGCAAGAAAACTGCCCAGCAGAGAAGGCCTAAAAAAGCAGGATTCCAGGCCTGGGCAGGGCATTGTCTTGTGGGGAGGTGGTGACAAAAGCCTTTGGCCCCAGATGTGGCTTGTCTTCCTCTCCGGCTGAGCAGGAGGCTGAGACGGCTGGGTAAAATGGCTTCCCACCTTTGGCACCCGGACAGCTCCAGCTCTGGCACAGCCAGCTGTGTTTGTACTGAGGCTGGCAGGTTTGAGGAGAGGTGAGGCCAGGTGTCTGCATCTGCTGAGGAGACAGGACTTCTCCCTGCCCAGAATCTTCATGGATTTTCCACAACAGAGATCCCACCCCTGACTCGATTCCTCTCCACACACATTCTCTGCTCCGTTCTTTAAGAGTGGCCCACGGCACCGTGCCAGACGCTCCTCTTTGTACTCAAAGGCTGCTGGTTAAGTCCCAAATTTGGAACTGCTTGATAAGCAGCCGGGCGGAGGCCTGTCCTCACAGACGCTCCTGCCCAGGGAGCCTCGGGCGGCTGCAGGCCTCACAAATCACCATCCTCACACTTTTGGGGTTGGATGTGAGTCTTCCCTCGTACACACAGGGCTGTGTGTCCCCTGTGTGACTTGTCTGTTTTTCTGTTTGGTTCCATTTTACGAGGAGGCCTGGCTCTGGGAGTTAGTGGCACAGTTGGGAACTTAATAATACGCCTTGGACTTAACTATGGCACCTTCTCTTCTGAAGACTAAGGACCCAGCCAGGTTTTTCCAGGGTGTGTCTGGCTGTGAGGGGGAGGTACCCGAGGTCACAGGTTACTGTGGTTTCTGAGGACCTGTTGACACTTGTCAGGCTGGGGGAGAAAGCAAAGAAGTCTGCGGAAGCTGTGTCACTCTTCAGCGGTCCCCCCCAGGTCGGGGTGAGTGGGATGTCACAGCCTGAGAGGAACAGTCATTATCTCTTACAGAAAAGCAATGACTTCATGTTCTGGGGTTTGCAAATCTGGGTAAGAGCCTGTGGGACCCGTGTTCTCGCGTACCCAGAGATCTTCTTTGCCACGGAGGGAATTCAAGAGACCAAAAGGGCTAATCTTAATGATCCTTTTTTTCTACTTTCTGTTTTTGAAGCCCAACAGCAGATCCCTCACCTGTTGCATTCGGTGGGAAAAGTGCTTGCTGGCCCTGGGGCAGTTGCACTTCCATCAAGTGATGGAAGCCGCTATGGGCAGCTGCACCCTGTCCTCCCTGAGATAATTTCATAGTCATCACAGACATCCAGTGATCCCCACCTCCAAAAACGCCTGAGTTGTGGAAAATTTTTAATACTCTATGCCGTCATGCTGACTGGAGGATCTTAGTCTTTTCAGGGAATCTCATGAACCCGTGGGACCTGCCTCCAGAAAGACAGCAGACAGCAGGTCTTGTTTTGGGGTTTTTTTTTTTTTTTGGTTCGGTTTTTGGTTTTTCCTGGAAGCCTCTGAATTGCAGG